TTGAGGGGAATGGCCACAGGGGATCCCTGCACTGTCTGCCTGTTCCCATTCCGTCCCCTGACTGTAATCCATCTACCTTTTTCCTGTACCTGAGGTGTGACTACCTCCCAGTAACTCCTCTCAATTACCCCCTCAGCCTCCCGAATGATCCGAAGTTCATCCAGCTCCAGCTCCAGTTCCCTAACGCGGTTTCCAAGGAGCTGGAGTTGGGTGCACTTCCCGCAGATGAAGTCAGTGGGGACACTAGTGGTGACCCTTACCTCCCACATTCTACAGGAGGAGCATGCAACTGCCCTAACATCCATTCCCACTGTTCTGAATTCCCAAACAGACTATTGAAAGAAAAAGAAAAACTAGTAACCTTACCAAATCGGCGCTCAGAACCTTTTTTTTGGTTAGAGGAGGAGGATGGGTGGGAGACACTACCGGGTAAAGCAACCGCCCAAATATATTACCTCACTTACTCAGCCGTCCCGTGTCCGCTCCTGCTCAGCGTGCGCTCCGCCTAATTCACGAGGTAAGTTTTTAAAGGATTAACTTACCTTCCTGGCAGCCCCCTGGTCCTCGCTGTCACTGCTGCTGCAAAAATGGAGTCATGTGAGGTAAGACTTTTATAATCGAAACGCTTACCTTCCCAGGGTGCCCGCGTGCTTCCTCCCGGACTCCCGCCGCTGAAACTACTGAAAGGCCGCAGTCACGCGAGGTAAGGCTTTTATAATCGAAAAGCTTACCTTCCCAGGGTGCCCTCACGCTTCCTCCTGGACTCCCACTGCTGAAACAACTGAAAGGCTGCAGTCACGTGAGGTAAGGCTTTTATAATCGAAAAGCTTACCTTCCCAGGGTGCCCTCGTGCTTCCTCCCGGACTCCCGCCGCTGAAACAACAAAGAGCTAACAAAGGGTTGATGATGGTAATGTTGTTGTTGTAGCGTACTTGGACTTCCAAAAGGCATTCAAGAAAGTGTTGCATAAAAGACTGTGGGCAAAGTTATATGTAAAGACCTTTTATTGTCTTTTTATTGCTGTGATTTTTAATGTTGTTGATCAAAATGAGAACAGACTGTTCTAAAAACCAAGAATGGCTGCATGTTTTGAAAAGCAAATAGCTTGATACTCTTCACAAGCTTTATTAACAATTAAAATAAAAACAGAAAGTGCTAGAGAGACTCAACAAGTCTGTGAACTGTTTCTCTCTCCACTGATGCCAGATCTTTCGGTTCTTATTTTAGACTTCCTGAATCTGAAATTTTCTTTTATTCATTCGTGGGATGTGGGTGTCACTGGCTGCCAAGCATTTTTGCCCATGTCTAGTTGCCTTGAGAAGGTATTAGTGAGCTACATTTTTGAAATGCTGCAATCCACATGTTGTGGGTTGACGCACAATGCCGTAATGGAGCAAATTCCCGCATTTGGACCCAGTGACAGTGAAGGAACAACGACATATTTCCAGGTCAGGATGGTGAGTGGTTTGGAGAGGAACTTGCAGGTGGTGGTGTTCCCATGTATCTGCTGTCTTTGTCCTCCAAGATAAAAGTGGTCATGGGTTTGGATGGTGCTGCCTAAGAATTGTTGGTGAATTTCTGCAGTGCATCTTGTAGATAGCACAGACTGCTGCTACTGGTGGTGGAGGGAATGGATGCTTGTGGATGTACTGCCAATCAAGCTGACTGTTTTGCCCTGGATGGCGTCAAGCTTCTTGAGTGTTGTTGGAATTGCACCCATCCAGATAACTGGACTCCTGACTTGTGCCTTGTTGATGGTGGACAGGCTTTAGGGAGTCAGGACCTAATCTTGTAGCCACAATATTTATGTGGCGAGTTCAGTTGAGTTTGTTGATAGTAGGGGATTCAGTGATGGTAACACCATTGAATATTAAAGTGAGGTGGTTAGATTGTTTCTTATTGGAGATGGTCATTGCCTGGCATTGTGTGGCATGAATCTTACTTGCCACTTGTTAGCCCAAGCCTGGATATTGTCTAGATCTTGTTGCATTTGAATATGGACTGCTTCAGTTTCTGAGAAGTTGTAAATGAACGTTATGCAATCATCGGCAAACATCCCCAATTTTGACTTTATATTGGGGAGGGGGTTGGTGGTGGTAGTGGTGCTGGTCATTTATGAAGCAGCTGAAGATGATTAGGCCTAGGGCACCACCCTGAGGAACTCCTGCAGAGATGTCCTAGAACTGTGACTGACATCCAACAACCACAACCATCTTCTTATGTGCCAGGTATGACCTCAACCAGCAGAAAGTTTGCCCCCGTATCACATTGATTCCAGTTTTTGCTGGGGCTCCTTGATGACACATTTGGATTGAATATAGCCTTAACGTCAAGGGTTGTCACTCTCACCTCACCTCTGGAATTCAGCTATCTTGTCCATGTTTGAACAAAGGCTGTAATGAGGTCAGGAGCTGAGTGGCCCTGGCAGAACCCAAACTGGGCGTCACTGCGCAGGTTATTGCTGAGCAGGCCCTGCTTGATTACACTGTTGATAACACCTTCCATCACTTTACTAAAACTCGAGAGCAGATTGATTGGGTGGTAATTGACCGCTTTGGATTTGTCCTGCCTATTGTGTAAAGGACCATACCCAGGCAATTTTCTTTCCTTTAAACAGCTGCTTTAATAAGCAGGAGTTGAAATTTAGTTTACAGACAAACTGGAGCCGAGGGGTTATGTATTCATATAGAGCTTTGGATTGCAACAACAAGTTGATTGGGCTGTGGACTTGTGAACAGTTATCAAAGACGAAAGCCCTATGGGTTTGGTTGTCAGATTAGTAAACAGTTTGGGGCTAGGAATAGGATACAGAGAAGTAATCAGCTCTCCACCAGTTCAGGAGATATATCTCATTCCCTGGTGCCAAAACCCATTTTAAACCTGAAGAAAATGAGTGTATCTTTGCTTCAGCAGTTGCTGTAAGCTGTGGCTTTTAATTAATAAGTCAGACACCTTTCATAAGTGAACCAGCCACAATGTGCCTCTTATAAACAAGTGGAAACTTATGGATAAGGCAGGTGGAGAAGAAATGTTCTGAGCAGCAAGAACCAACTCTACTGATCTTGTGAACGAAGACGAGTGAACTGCATTCTCAGTTCTCCCTCCAGCTATGCTTTTTCTTCCCTGTTCACATCTGCATGTGCACGTGTGTATGTGTAAGGGGGAGTTAAAAAGGGGATAACAGTTTTAATTTGTCGTGTTAAGTGATGATGGTATATAACTGTTTAGCTGTAGCCAAAGTCTCGTTACTTGTAATAGATCATGATTCCTGTCGAGTACCGAAACCTGTTCTGTGCTTTCTTTAAACCTAGGTCGGAAAGTCCAGTAAATTGGTAAATCTTTGTTTCATTTCTAAAAATCTTTAACCTTCGTGATGAATAGAATCCTAGAATCCCTGCAGTGTGGAAGCAGGCCATTCAGCCCATTGAGTCCATCCTGACCCGCTGAAGAACATCCCACTCAGACCCAGCCTCTACCCTATCCCTGTAACCCTGCATTTCCCATGGCTAATCCACCTAAGCAACACATCCCTGGACACTATGGGGAAATTATCATGGCCAATCCACCCGAGCATCACGTCTTTGAACTGAGGGAGGAAACCCACATAGACACAGGCAGAAGGTGCAAACTTCACACAGAGAGTCGCCCAAAGGGTGGAATCGAATCTGGTCCCTGGTGCTGAGGCAGCAGTGCTAACCACTGCGCCACCGTGCCGCCTCAAGTGGGCTTGATTTCCAGTGTTCTACCCTAGTGAGTTATAACTTGTACGTCATAGAATAAAAGGGACAGTAGCAACATGGATACAAAATTGGCTGAGTGACAGGAAACAGAATAATGGTTAATGGATATTTTCAAGTTGGAGAAAGATTTGTGGTGGAGTTCCCCAGGGAATGGCATTGGGACTCTTCCTTTACCTAATTTATGTTAATGATCTAGATCTTGGTGTGTAGAGCATAATTTCAAAATTTGCAGAGGATATGTATCTTAGAAGCATTATAAGCTGTGAGGAAGACAGTGTAGAATTGAAAAGGACATTGACAATTACTGCTGTGGGTGGATAGATGGCAGATGAATTAGAATGCAGGGAAGTGTGAGGTACAAAGAATATTGAGAAAAAGCATAAATTGAGGGAAGTTATTCTAAAGAATGTGCAGGAGCAGAGAGACCTGGGTGTGTATGTGCATAAGTCATTCGAGGTCAGGTGGACAGGATGGATGTTAAGACCTGAGTATTTTAGAATTTATTGATAGTGGCATAGTGTAGAAAAGCAGGAATTTTGAACTATTGTTAACATACTGAACCTGCCTAAGACACTGGTTAGACCTCAACTGAAGTAGATGCCATACTTTGGGAAGCATGTGTCTGCATGGAGAGAGTGCGAAAAAATTTACAAGGATAGTCCTAGGCATGAGACACTTCAATTATGAAGATATATTGCAGTAGCTGGGGTCAACATAGAACTGAAGAAGGGTTCCAACCTGAAACATTGACTTTCCTACTCCACTGATGCTGCCTGACCTGCTGTGTTTCTCCAGCTCTGTATTAACTCTGACTCCAGCATCTGCAGTTCTTGGTATCTCTGGAGTAGCTGGGACTGTTTTCCTTGTCGAGGGAAGAGCTAAGAAGGCTAGAATTTTCAAAATTATGAGAAGTCTGGCCAAAGTAGTCAGGGAAAACACTTCCTGCATATAAAGGACCAAAAGCATGAGGGCACACATATGAAGTGATTTACAAAAAAAAGTAAACATAATGTAAGAAAACATCTTCTCACAGCAAGTTGTTTGTGTCTGGAATACAATACCTGAAAATGTGGTGGAAATGGATTCAGCTGAGGTGTTCAAGAGAGAAATGGATGGTTATTTAAATACAAAGAATGTACAAAAATACAGGGAAAAGGCAGAAGGATGGTATTAAGTTTTTTTAATTCATTCGTGGGATCAGGGCATTGCAGCATTTATTGCCCAGAGGGCAGTTAAGAGTCAACCACATTGCTGTGCGTTTGGAGTCACATGTAGACCAGACCAGGTAAGGATGGCAGTTTCCTTTCCTAAAGGACATTAGTGAACCTGATAGTTTTTTTTTCCCCCCAACAATCGATTCACAGTCATCATTAGACTCTTAATTCCAAATATTTATTGAATTGAAATTCCACCATCTGCTGTGGCAGGATTCAAACCCAGGTCCCCAGAACATTATGTGGGTCTCTGGATTAACAGTCCAGCGATAATACCACTAGGCCATCGCCTCCCCGATAGTCATGGTAGGTCATTCAGAGAACCAGTTAAGACATGATAGGCCTAATGGCATTATTTCACGATTATAATTTTGTGATCATATATCCATCTATCTAGCCCTTTTGGAATTCTGTAAGTTTCCTTGAGATTACTTCTCATTTTTTGAAACTGAGGTTCATTAGATTGATTCCAGAGATGAGGGATTTCTGTTATGAACAGAGACTGAGCAGTTTAGGCCTATTCTGTCTGGAGTTTAGAAGAATGAGAGGATATCTAATTGAGGTATATAAGATGTTAAAGGGGATTGACAAAGTAGGCTTGAAGACAATATTTCCTTATGTAGGGCAATCTAGAATGAGAGTTCATAGATTTTGATAAGTTGTTGCAGATTTAAAACAACGATGAGAAGGAATTATTTCTCTCAAAGGAATGTGAATCAATTGAATTCACTATTCCAGGGTGCAGTGGATGCTGGGACATTAAGTGAATTTACTCAGAGAAAGTCACATTTTTAATTGAAGTAATGGGCTGAAAGATTACGGAGAGTGGGCAGGAAAGTTGAATTGAGGCCACAATGAGATTAGTTATGATCGTATTAAATGACAGAGCTGAGTTGTCTACTCCTGCTCTTATCTCTTATGTTTTATGGTTTGTTCTTATACACATCTATTCTCCTCAATTTCTCCTACACAGGTCAGATGTACAGCCCCCAAACTTCCTGAGTCACATCTTTCTGAGGAAGGTGAAACCTGGAATATGGGCCCATATTCCAAACAGGTCTTTAAGTTGTGATTAGGATGGATGTGATTGGGTGAGAGATTTCTTGTGCGCTGACTCTCAAGTCAAGTGTGATGTCTCTGGGTTTATTAGTGCAACTTATTCCTTTATGTCCTTTAAAACATAACTAGACACGCCCTCCCAAGAATTAGTCTGCTGAACCTCATCTATACTCCCTCTACAGAAAGTATATCCTTCCTTAGGGAAGGAGTTCAAAACTGTTTACAATACTCCAGGTGTAATTTCACCAATGTTTTATACAATGGAAGTAAGACACTTTTTATCCCTGTCAGCCTGTTGTGACAAAGGTCAAAATATAATTTGCCTTCTTAATTCCTTACTGTTCCTATATTTTAACTGCCAGTTATGAACAAGGACACCCTGATCCTTTTGGACACAAACACTTCCCAATTTCTCACCATTTCAGAAACACTCTACACCTCCTTTCTTCCTGCTAAATTGGGTAGCCTCATCCTTATCCACATTATATCTCATCTATCATTTGCTTGCCCACTTACTCAGCCTGTTAGAATATCCTTGAAGCCTCTTTGCATCCTCCACAACATACAATCCATCTGTGTCATCTACGGACTTGGAAATATCACGTTTGATCCCATATCCAAATCATTGATATAAATTGTGAACACCTGGCCACAAACTCTGGTTGTTTTGATGTCTCATACAGCCTGTTTGACCTGTTTATTTCTACTTGTTGCTTTTTGTCTGTTAACCAGCTGCTGAACCATATCAACATATCACCTCCTATTCAATAAGTTCTAATTATGTTTCCTAGCTTCCTGTGTGGAACTTTATTTAAAACCTTCTGAAAATCCGAATACACCACATCTATTAGCTCCTTCTTGTTTATACTGCTAGTAATATACTCAAAACTTCAACTTGTTTGTCAACTATGATTTGATCTACATATGTCCATGTTGAACCTGCCTAATCCAATTATTATTTTCTAAGTGTAAAGTTATCATGTTCAGTGATTAAATTCTTTATAATATATTCTACAGTTGCCCCTACCACTACTGTCAGAATAACACATTTGTAGTTACCTCTTTTTCCCTTACTCCTTTCTGAAATGTTAGGGTTGCATTTTGCAACCTTTCAAATTGAAAAGACCATTTCTGAACCTATAATGTTTTGAAAGACGACCTCCAATGTATCCATTATCTCTATAGTCACCTTTTTCAACACTATAGGATGTAGATCATCAAGCCCTGGGGATTTTCTGAATTTCTCCATTTTTAAACAAAAACTAGTTTCTTTCAGTTTCTCATTCTCACTAGTGCCTTGAACCTCTATTATTTCTGGTAGATTTCTTGTACCTTCCTCCGTAAAGAAAGATAAAAGTAATTATTTTGCTTTTCCATGTCCTAACATTTTCAGCTAGTTTTCCATTTTTCTCATTATAAATTTTCCTGTCTCTGCCTCTGCGAAAAATAAACCCACATTTACCTTGGCTAATATTTTCCTGTTTTAATTCTTATGAAAGCTTTTATAATTCACCTTCATGTTTCTTGTCAGCTTATGCATGTTCTATTCTCCATTTCTTTATTAATTGCTTGTTCCTACTTTGCTGAATTCTAATGTTTCCAATCCTCAAGTTTACTATTATTTTTGGCAACTTTATAAATCTCCTCCTTTTGAAATATATAATATTTAATTTACTTTGTTAGCTGTGGTTGACTCACTTTTTCCTGTTGAGGTTTTGTGCCTTAAAGAAATGAATGTTTGCTGTAATCCATTTAATTCTTTAAATATTAGATATTACCTGTCCACCATTATACATTTTAGTGCATCTTCCATGTCCACCATAGCCAACTTGTCCTTTATACCTTCAGATTTTCTTATGCTTACATTTAAGAAAACACTTTTTGTCTGATCCAAATCATTTTCAAACTTAAAGCAAACTTGTATCACATTGTGATAATCTTCTCTAAAGGCTCTTCTACACCAAACTTACTAATTAGCACTTCTTATTACATGATGATAGATCTAAAACAGTCTGTTCCTTTGATGGATCCACAATGCAACAGCTCTGGAAAACAATCCTGCATACTTTCCAATAATTTATCCTCCAGTGCTGATTGGATTTTCCATTTAATGTGCAGATTGGATGTGTAGATTGAAGTTATCCATTATTATAGCATTACCATTAATACATGCATCTCTAATTTCATGACTTACTTTGAGTCTTGTGTTATCTTCTGTTTGGTGGTTATCAACAAAGCGTGCTGCCTCTTGCTGTTTCTAAATTTCACTCAAACAGATTCTCCACTTTCTTCTTCCAAACTAATTTCCTTTCTCACTAATGTGCTGATCTCATCTCTTATTAACAGAACTACTCCTACTTCTTTTTCTTTTTTGTCTGTTCTTCCAAATGTTGAATATCCTTGAATATTCAGATCCCAGCCACGGTCACCTTTCCAACACTGTCTCTATCTTGACAAATAGTTCATATGTATACATTTTGTTGTGCCATCAGTTAATCTGCCCCACTGCAAATGCTACATGCATTCTTTCATTTCTGCCTTTTAAACATCATTCAGTACTTTGAACTTATTTAATGTTGGCATTTGTTTCTGTTGCACCCTACTGTCATTTACTGCTGTTTTACTTCCCATTATCTTTAGCTTTGTTTTTCTCCTCCTTTTTGTATTCCTTTTGTGGTTCCTATCCCTGGTCAAGCTAGGTTAAACATTTCCAAAAGCACCAGCAAATCTCCCTGGAAAGATATTAGTCCAGATGCTGCTAAGGTGTAATCTTCTCTCCCTTTTATAGGTCCTACATCCCCAGATCCTGTCTCAGTGCCCCAGAAATTTAAAGCCCTCTTTCCTACACTGTTTTTGCAGTAATGCACTAATATTATTTTATACACTTGCCAGCGCATAGAGTTTGGAAGTAATCTTGAGATTTCTGTTTTAGAGGTCCTTCTTTTTAATGTCTTTTTCTCTTCCCTAAACTCTGTTTTCAGGATATCATCCCTCATTCTACCTGGTCCTTTATACCAAGATGGACCATGACCTATGGCTGTTCACCCTCCCCCTGAAGTATGTCCTGTAGCAACTACTTAGTCACATCCATGATCCTGGCACCAGAGTGTCAGCATACCATCCTGGAGTCACTTTTAAGGCCACAGTGAAATTGACTTAGGGGACTCTTGCACTAACTGCTTAGTCCACCTCTAGACTATCTAGCAATTGCCTATTCCCTTTAGCCTGCATGATCCTAATCCTTAAATGAGCGAATCATATAGTTCTCAGCTTTACCATAGCCACACCAGTGGTCACAGGTTCTAAAATCCAGAGCTCAAGTTTCTGCAGATGGTGACACTTGCTACAGCTGGTTGCGTAGGCCATGTAAAGTGTTGATGGCTCCCCAGATGTCACAGGATGGATATTTCACTTGGCTGAGCGTGTTGCTATGCAATGGCAAAAGCCATTGGAATTTCATTGACCAAAAGGGTTCAGGCAATTGATTTACACAGCATAAGCTACCTGCCCCTAGAAATATGATAAAACAAGAGCAGATGGGGATGTCCTCATCAGGAAGTCCTTAGGGAGCTGTCGTCTCCACATGAAAGACCAGAAGAAGAGGAGGAAAACCTAAGGAAGAGTTTCCTAATACCCCAGCTAGAGAATAGGATATGACCTTTACAACTTACATGACACCAACACTCTCCACATCAATTGCCTGTTTGGCCTCTGGTACAGCGAGCATTCCCAATTGTCACAAGTTATATACATTCTTTATCGAATTAACTGATGTATCATACGCTGCTGCTTCTGAACAAACTATCAGAAATTTGCTACAAATCGTCAACAATCTATGTTAGGTAACTGTGATTGCAAACTCCTTAAAATCAATATAAGTTTTATAAAAAAGGTTAATGATTAACATACACTTAGTAACCTAAGTTCTAGGCCCATACTCTGTATCAAGTTGCACTCAAATTGTCATTGTGCTGTTGATGAAGAGGGACAGCATTCAACTTAAGCTTTTTGTAATAGATTAGTCTGACTTACCCTCCTCTTTCCTGTCTCATAAATCCCTTTCCAGTAAATATTTAAATACCACATGAATCCAATGGCCTCTTCTGGTAACTTGTCCCTCAATTCTATTATCTGTTGTGTGGTAAAATATGTATTGGTTCAAATTTTGCAGCCTTTGTGGCTTGTGCTAGTGAGACAATATTTTGTGTTGGTTACCAATTCATTAACTATTTTTGACACTTCACATATGTCTTCAAGTTCAGTTTCAAAGCAAAATTAACCAACTTCATTTGCTTCTCCTAATATCTTAAAATACTTAAACCCAGAATTATCTTTGTTGCACATTTTGATCTTCTCAAGAGCAAAGATATTTAATGAGTCTTGCAGAATGTTTATACAGTGTCGTATATCAAGTGTTTCCTACATTACAATAGTGATTACACTTCAAACATACTTCACTGGCTATAAAATACTGTTGGATGTCCAGGATCATTAAAGGTGTGATATACCTGCAGATCTTTCTTTCAGTTGATTAGAAAATAGAGAATTCAGAGCATATGGTTGTGATTTTTCCATTGGTAGTTTGGAAGAGGATGAGCCCATAGTACACCTCAATTTTCTTTTGCAAGTCAAACGCTACTTTAACTATGAATCGCATGTGTGCAACTTTATTTACTCTTAGTTCAGTTAAGACAAGTAACATAGATGCACTTAAAGGGATTCTAGGTAAGTGCATGAAAGAGATAAAAAAAGTAATAGAAAGACAAACTTACATTCAAGTAGCATTTTCCCTGATTACCATACATCTCCAAGTTCTTTAAAGATAGCCCACTACTTTTGAAGTGTAGTCACTGTCTAATTGCTGAGGCATAGAATTTAAGAGCAGGGAGGTGATGCTGGAGGTGTGTAAAACATTGGCTAGGCCACAGCTAGAATACTGTGTGCAGTTCTGAAAACCACATTATAAGAGAGGAAATGGGCTTGGTTAGTTCAGTTAGCTGACGACTGGTTTGTGATGCAAAGTGATACCAAC